GAAGGCTGAGGCAGCAGGATCGCTTGAGCCCAGGAGTTTGAGGTTGCTGTGAGTTATGATGAAGCCACTTGCACTCTAGCCCGGGCAACAGAGCGAAATCCTGTCTCAAAGAAAAAACCAACAAAAAGAATAAGCGTAAGAAAGGATAATAAAGAAACAATTTAGACATACAGCAATTTCGTTTTAATGAGCTTAGATACAGAATAGTAATATCCTGTTGCAAGGTACGTTTTAGGATACCTGTTTACCTTCCAACGTGTCACCTTTGGGTTAAGGGGAGAGGAATAGCCACTACTCGACCTGTCCCAACTAACTCCACTCTGCTGCCCTTTTACCAGTCTGCGTGTGCAGACTGCGACAGGACACCTGCGCACGTGACACTCCCCGGAAAGTATCCTGGGCTCTCAGGATGTGACACCCGTCCACTCTCTGGCCGCGGGATTCCTAGAAGAATGCTCAGGGCGCCTGCGGGAGAGCCAGGCAGGGAGGCCGAGGAAGTTTTACCATGGCAGGCGCCTCAGGCCTGAGGAGGGTCCCGGCTCACCAGAGGTATCTTCACAGCCCCCAACCCCAACCTGAGATGCCCACAGCGCCTCCCAGAGGCAGTGCTAAGACCACACCCCCTATCCTGGACTGTAAGAAGAGAATGGGGCGACGGTCCCCCGCCTCTTAGAACAATTGAACAACACGTAGGATTCTAACGGGCACCTGGCCACGCTTTTCCAAGGGGCGGGGTCGAGGCAGCCCGAAGATGGCGGCGGCGGTGGGGTCCGCGGGTCACTCTCCAAGGCGCCCTTGGCTGGCACTCACTGCAGTTCCACCTACCTTGCTAGCAGGCCACCCCGGCGAGCTGCGCGAAGGGGCAGGAGGGAGCAGTGATGAGCACTTGGCGGCACCAATGAGGACTCAGGAGTCCGGGTTACGCCCAATCACGGCCCGGCCTGCAGAGTCGGGGTAGGTTGCGGGCTGGCGGCGTGTGTGGCGGACTCGGAACGCGCGGGAGCTTGCTTGCTGCCGGGCTGAGCTTTCCGCCTCGCCGCTTCCCGAGCGCGTTGCTCCGCGGTGCCCGGCGCCGGCCGGAGAACGTAGAAGAGCGAGGGGGCCAACGGTCCGGCCTGAGGCCCAAGTCCGGGAGCGCCTGGTGCAGCGGTCGCGGGGCCGTCCCCGCGGCTGCTGCCATGACCGACTCTCTCCCCAGAGGGGACTCTTCCTCAGCGGGTGCTGCAGAGAGAGATGAGGAGCGGCTTCTGGCTGCAGGACCGTGAGACGGGTTAGTGGCCGGCCAGTTAGGGGAACGCCGCGGACGGCCGCCTGCGCGCTACTGGGCTGGTTGCTTTGGCCCCGAGATTCGCGGGGGGGCGGCGGCATGTTCCCGCGGAGGCCGCTGGCTGCCTGGCTGGCGGGGGCGCGGGGCGGGGGCCTGCTGGCCCTGCTGGCCAATCAGTGCCGCTTCGTGACGGGCCTGCGTGTGCGGCGCGCGCAGCAGATCGCGCAGCTCTACGGCCGCCTCTACTCGGAGAGCTCGCGCCGCGTCCTCCTCGGCCGCCTGTGGCGCCGGCTCCACGGCCGCCCTGGCCATGCCTCTGTCTTGATGGCGGCGCTCGCCGGCGTGTTCGTGTGGGACGAGGAGAGGATCCAGGAGGAGGAGTTGCAGAGGTGGGTTCTGCAGCGAGCTCGTTCTGTGCGGTGGAGTGGTGGGACGGCCAGGCGGGAGGTTGGGACGTGGGAACCCTTGGGCCTGCACTGTGTTCAGCATCCCCCGTTTATCTGGTCGTCCTTTAAGTACCGTGCTGTAGATTGAACCTGTTTCAGCAGACCGCGTTGTTTATTGCCCCTGTGTGTTTGATTTGTAGGGTTAGAAATAAGAACTGGAAATGTTGGTTAGTGTAGGAGGGAGACTTCGTTTTCAGTGAGGAGAACGTGACACTAAAGAAACAACATTGTGGAAATAAATTGGATATCGAAGGCGTGGAGGCCATTGTTCACGTAATCTTTAACACACCCAGAAAGGTGAAAATTCAAAACAGATTTTAAACTTGACCTAAGGGTGTAGTTGTGCAATTTACAAAATGACTTCAATCCAAATGGGACTCGGGCCTTGTGAGAAATACCAGGAGAGCTCTCTGTCATTGTGACTCATGTCGTGGCAGAATTAAGAGGCTGGAAAGGATTTTGTTCTGCTTGCACAAACCAGTAGCCCAGACATTTTAACCTTTAAGAATTAGGTCAGATTTTTGCTACTTTAACTAGAACTTTGGGAATACTGTGTCATTAGGCTCTGAAGTCACACTGTCGTCATCAAAACTTCTGTGTGAAAAGCCCAGTACCATCGATTGAATTTGTTAATCTGTAGTTCTGAGCCTGAGACTTTATTGTTTTCAGGTAATGTAATGGGGAACCTTTGCTTTAGCTCTCACTTTACATTGTCGCAGTATTTTTTTTTTTTTAACAGATATTGTTAAACTGTACCCTCCCTGCACACAAGCCCTCTGCCCCTGAACTCTAAAACCGTGATTTCAGGAACCAGTCCCCTTCTCCAATAGATCCCACACTGGTCTGTTTTTTCTAGATATTTCTTCAATAGGGAGGCAACTTGTTATTCTACATTTTTGGTTAGGTTAGAAATGGAAATACCCCAGTAAAGTTTAGCAGCCTATTTGGGAAGTTAACACCCAGGCAGCCTATTTGTGCCACACCGTGAATTCTGGGTACATGCAAGTCTATCTTAAGAACTGAGACTACTATTCCTAGCAGGAAAGATAACTTTTATAAATGCAGTTTAAAATCATAACCACAAACAACCTTATTCACAAAAAAGTTAAGGTATCAAAGCATGATAGGTATTTTGCCTAGTTCCTGTTAGCATTCTTTTGCTACTTGGCCATTTGTTCTCATCAGTCTTAGGTGTAAAAAATAAAAGAATGGAAAGAAACCTTTTAAATTGAGAAATTATCAATTGTTTGAATTTTCATTCTGTTTTTAATGGTGAAATACCCATGTTCCAAAGTTAAGTTTGTGAGGAAAATCCCTGGTTGGAACTGTTTGGGGAAGAAGAGAAAGACCAGAAAAGGGCTGTTGGGTGCAAAAGAGAGGGGAGTGTTTGGGGGTGGGAGTTCAGTAGTGTTGGGGCTTAAGTAGTACATGACACTTCTAGGCTTACCTCATGCATTTTTATGGATGATAAGTCCTGGAGCCTCTGTTTAGCAGTTCTCTCGCTTGCAGGAGCTAGAGGGGGAAATGAGATAGGAAATGAACTTAGTAAACATTTGAGTTAGTAGTAGTCACTATCCACCATAGCAGAGAGATCAGACCAGTTGATGACCAAGCCAGGTATTCATTCTATTTCACTGTCTTTGGACTGTCTCAGCAACCTGGGGGCAATTGAACTCCTCTAGGTTCTAAACCAACTCTTAAAGAGGCATTGCTCTGAGTTAACCAGCTTTGGAATTTCAGAAGCTTAAATGAAGCCCAGTCAGAACACTTTTAAGCTGCCTTTTGACTCCCTCCTTAGGGTTGTTATATGAAGGCCCTCGTTTAACATTTCATTGTCCAGTTCATGATTTAGTTTTTCATATACTTAAAATTTGATCAAGTTGTCCATCTTGAGGATCTTTTCTTTTTTAAACATTTGTTACCATGATAGGGAGGCAAATAATATGCTATTCAACAGCTACATCTTGGTTGTACAGTACTTTGTTAGATCTTTGTTCTGATAGTTTGTCATGTTTATATTTTATTGAGTAAAATATTCTGGGTATAGGTTAACTTATTTGTTTGGTGTTTAAGTATTCTGTTTGCTTTAAAGTAAGCACTGCTGAGGTTGTTTTAGCTAGCTTAGAATCTCTTAGATTTTGTTCTAGCAACATGATTTTTGGTTAGCTTCTATTATGGAGCACAGTTTAAGTGTGTTCTCAAGTGCATTTCCTTCATTGTTAATGGAAGAAGAGCATGCTTGTCACATGGACCCTAAATCATAGCCTTTGGCTCATCTGTGCTGTTACTGTACCAACTTGTCCTGGCACAAACTAATTCTCCTATTGTCATCTTGGTTAAACAGAGGTGGAGTGTGTAGGGTGTTTTTTTGAATGTGTGCCTTAAGGTGGCATGTGTTTTTCTTATGTTATTTGAGTTCTTATTCAGAATGAAAAATCACAACCTTACTTTCTTTTCTTTTGTGTTTAAGAATATCTTACCAAATAGGATCTTATTAATCATGCAACAGCAAGAAAATTTAAGAAATCACTTGTACAAAGTGGTTTTGACTTGGCTGCTAGGGCAAGGCATAGAAATCAGAT